TCAAAAATTCTGCCAATTTCATACTATCAATCATTTCAAAATCTAAGCCATTTATATTATATCTATGGATAACATTTTCAAGTTTTCTACCAACTGAATAACTTTACATTTGTCAATATTCAATTACATTTTGTTGTAATTACACCATTCACTGAGCGATCTAGATCGTCTTGTAAATTAATAAAATCCTCGATTGATTTTATAACAGAGAATAATTTCAGATCATCAGCAAAAAGAAGCGCCTGACTAAAACTTAATTTACTAACTGAATCATTAATATAACAGTTAAAAAACAATGGTGCTAAATGTTTCCCCTGAGGCACGCCAGAACTTACAAATATGTTGTTAGAAAAGTAATTATTATACTTAACGATTTGCTTTCTATCAGTCAGTTAACTTTCAATCCAAGATAAGAGTGGACGATAAATACCAAGGCAACCAAAGTTTGCAATTAAAATTTTATGATTCATCCTGAATCACATTATCATAATTGGCTAAACGAATTTGAATGCGATTCTGCCGTATATCCTACAAATAATTGCTTTCAATTTACCCAGGCGTCTTCCAAAAATTGTTGAAATATTGGTCCGGTATTATGTAATTTAGAAGATTCGCTTCTGCAATGAATGCGATAGCGATAGAATTCACGAAACGTTATCAATTTAGGGTTGTCGAGTGTGTCGTAAGGCTTTATAATCGTATCTTCTTTCACCGCAAGGAAATAGAAGAGGATAAATCATCGGATCACTGAGGGGATTTGAATTTTTCAATCCGTGACGAGCGCGATCATCGTCGTCACGCCGATCACGCGAATTAACAACCAAATCAACCTCAAATGGTATTGGGTTCGACAAAACCGTTGCGAAGATTCCCTACCATTTCCGATCCCTTTTCGTCAATACGCTTCCTGATTACTTCCCTCGCGGTCATATAACCTTGAATTAACGGACCAATTTCGCGCAGCATCGATTCGAACGCAATCGCCACTGGTAGTTCTATTAGCCCACAGCCAACCTCCACCCACCACTTTGGAAACTTGGCCGGATTATTCTGAACATTTGCCAACAATCGGCAATACCAAAGATCGAACTCGAAAGAGGGGTTGTCAAACTTGATTGAAGGCATGGGCGGAGCTGCAGCAACATCAACAAGCTCAACCATAGGCACGGAACGGGACAGGGCATCAGGCACAACGTTATCTTTACATCTGAAGTCTCACTGCCCACCTCGCAATACATCCAACAGGGTCTTTTATGGAATTTAGCCATTTGAGACTGTAATGATAGTAAAATGGGTTCTTTCAATATAGGGCCTCAATTTCTCTATTGCAAAAAGAACCGCCAAATATTCTTTCTCAGTAGTGCTGTAGCGCCTTTCGTTTTTCGTGAGTGAGCGACTGAGATAGGAAATGACTCGCTCAACATCATTTTGACCTTGAGACAAGACGGCTCCAACTCCAAAGTCAGAAGCATCACACTGTATGACGAAAGGCTTGTCGCGGTCAGGACAAGTCAAAATCGGAGCTTTAATAAGATGTTCTTTAACGGCATTGAATGCAGAATCACAAGCACTACTCAAATCTAAATTTTGTATTTTTCTGGGTCAGAGCAGTGAGAGGAGCGACCAAAGTTGAAAAATTGAGCACAAACCTTCGATACTAGGAAGCCAAGCCAATTATACGACGTATTTCGCTGATATTTTTAGGAGGGGGAATAAATACTCATAATAGCCTCGACCTTGTCAGGATCCACCAGCAGTTCGAAGGCATTTACAATGTAACCGAGATATCTCAATTCAGACTTGCAAAAGTTACATTTCTTCTAATTTAGTGTTAGAGCCGCTTTAGAAATTCGAAGGATAACCTCGCGAAGAATATCAATATGTTGTTCAAAAGTTGGTGTGCAGATAATTACATCGTCAAGGTAAACGAAAACAAATTGTTCCAAGTCAACACCCACGACTTGGTGGAACAGTCGTTGCTAAACCGCCGGAGCATTTGCAAGACCGAAGGGCATTCTCTTGAATTGGAATAGTCCCCCATCAGGAACAGAGAAAGCTGTCAGAGGCCTAGACTCTTTGGCAACCGGGATCTGCCAGTAGGCCGATTTAATATCAAGAGAACTCAAAAACTTTGCGTCACGGAGTTTGTCGAGTGTAGCTGACACAAAAGGGTTTGGATAACTATCCTTAACCGTTACACTATTCAGGCCTCGATGGTCTACGCAAAATCTCCAACCTCCACCACTTTTCTTCACCATAACTATGGGGGAAAGTCAAGTGGAGTCTGGGCTGGGACTCTGTAACGAATAGATATATTTTCTCTATCTCTATTGATTTTGACAAGAGAGAAGTCAGCGAGTGCCATAGCGATAAGGATAACGATCTCTATCCGTTACAGAGTTTCAGCCCTGATGGCTTAATGATGTCCTTTCCCAACATTTCCTCCAATTCAGCATTTACTTCATTCTGGAGGATTCTCGATAAGGGATAATATCGCTGTTTGATGAGGTCTGAATTGGTTCTGATTTCATGGTAAGTCCTTATCTTGAAATATTTGTGCAAGTTTTACGGCACCAATTTTTCCCCCCTTGTGAAAATATTTGTTTCCATTAGAAAAATCGAAAAAACTTCTCTGCCACGACACATTTAAAAAAAGTTAGAAATTTCTTCAGCCCTTTCACCACAAATCCTGCAATATAGCCGACCACATCGTTGACATAATCAGTCAAGTCCCAAGTAGGAGAAGTTAAGAGCTTATCCACATTACGATCTGTCATCATTTTTTTTTTTTTTTTTTCAAAATATTTGAATTCTTCGGATTCCTGTATATTGCTCTCATTTCCTTCAGTGGCTGAGAGTTTTTGGGCTGATGTGGCGCCACACAAAATTGAAATATTTCCTGACATTGCTTGTATTTGGAGCGAATATCTCACTATGAACAAGCAATCGCTTGTAAGCTGCCTCGAACTGGCGTGCTGTTGGATTATTGTTATGTCCTCCTACAATTTTGGTCAACATAGTTATTGCTGAAGCATTAAATAAACTTCACTTACCCTTGCACCAGGGAAGAGCTCTAAATGGTCCTGCGAAAAAAGTCACTATATATTTTAAGTTTTTTCTCCATAACATAAGTTTCATATATTTGCCTCAAACTCTTCATGCTAATTAACTAGGTATTCTAGGAAGCCGGTCTTTCTTCTTGATTTCAAAACTGGCATTCCGTTGATTTTTAAATTAATAGTTCCTGCATAAAGTCAAACATTGCTCTTGATGTTGCAGGAGAGAGTGGTCTTTTGAAAAAAATATTTACCAAAATAATTCCTGGAGTTTAAGATATCGAATATATCATTCATTTTCCGGATAAACTCTGCAGTTGGTAGTGACCCTTCAAACTCTTCGATTTTCAATTTTTTAGACAAGAATTTTAATGCGTCAAATACACTCTTGCTCAATACTTGTGTAGCTAAGCGCACTTTCATCTTTTCTCCCTGCCATTTTAAATGTCTTAATATAAGTTTTGTGGCAGCTTGTTCAACAGATGTACCAGTTTGGAAACTTATTTCCAATCGATTTGTTTCTTATTCTGGTCTTCTAAATTGAAGACTCCAAAGCAATTTCTCACTAGTTTTATTGCGTGCACGGGATCAACAAGTAGAAAAACTTCTTCTCCTGTTACTGGGTGCTTCATAGAAGTTTTCAAGTCTTCAGGGTCAGCAAAATCAGCACCCAACTGCTGCATCATTAAAATATTGGTTGCTACTCTGTCACATGTCAACGATGTTACAATTATTACGCCAGATTCATGAGCACACCCAGACATCTGTTTACTAAATTCGCTTCTTCAGTAGCCGATATATTATTAACCAAAAAGTATCCCACAGGTATTTTCTAGGAATTATTCACTGCTACCAGTCTGAACACCAAAGCCTCTTGAGCTTCTGGTACTATGTGTATATAATATTTTCCGACTATTTTGAATTATCGTAAAAAAGCTATTTTTTGTGTTTAACTCACGATTGTGACGCCATTTTTCAATATTTTTTCAAAATTCTTGAACCAATTGAAAGCCTAGCTATTGTAGATTTTACCTACATGTGCAAAAAACTATTTTTTCTCAACTGAAGTTGTCAGATTACGTAAAAGAAGGTGCGGTACCAAAAGTGAAGTGAAAATTTCAGTATCGAGAAAATTTTTGAACGGTTGAAGATAGATATATGATCAATCGACGAAAAATGTGCCTTAATAAGCGAGGAAGTTTTTGGTGAAAAGAGATTTGCACTAGTGGTAACGGTTTTCGAGATACGATTTTTTTTGTGAAACGCCGATGCGCGCCCGCCGCTGCCGCTTCAACGGAGACCTACTCGGTCCGACCTATACTTCAATAACTCAGTTGAAAGAAATTAGGAGGCCATTCACTCACGACCTGGAGGAAATGGAAGAACAATTCCACTATTTATTCCGTTTTAATAATTGTTTCTTTAAAATACGCAATGGATATGGACGGAATATAACTGCCTTCTCAAGAATATCGTCATAATTACCGCTGGAATGGCAGAAAATACCTACACTACTTCACTATGTTCAATTTCAATTTATTAACAACAAACTTTAAGTAAAATCTGGTTTTTTATTAAAGATAAAAGTCAACATTACATAATGTTAGAAATAAGGTAACTGAATACAATATCGCCATGCTAAGCTTTTTATTTTATTTTTTGAAAAGCGAAAGATTATATTATAAAAAATATAGGCTAAACTTATTGTTTAGGCTATATACTAATAGTCTAAAATCGTTTGGCAACATTCTTAATAAGCAAAAAAGATTTTTGATTTTTTTTTTAAATTTTGCAGATTGGCGATATTGTCACCCAGGGGCTAGCAATATCGCCATATTCATTTTTCAATTTGAAATAAATTTTTGGTATTCCAGAAAAAAAAAAAACTTGACTTTTGTTAAATATCCTTTATTAGAGCCATAACATGTAGTAAAAATACAAAAGTTAAGAACAGTAAGGGCAAATGTATCCTTCTATCTTGTCTTCTTTGGTCAACCCCAGGCATTCATCGTGCAAATAACATTTGCATATAACACACAAGCGCATATCCGCGACTCGGTCTTCTTGGCATCCTTTGCAGTACCAACTTTCCGATTTTTTCTCTTCCATCTTTCCCTTTGGAATCTTTGGTGGATTTTTCTTTGACGTTTTGGCTACTGGCTCCAAAGTCTTGCCCCCGACTGTAGATTCTTAAAAAAGGTCTTTTGTAACAACTTGTGCTCTACTGTTAATTGCGGGATTTCTGCGTCGAGTATCATATTTGTGAGCCAATTCTGGTGTAGTGAGCATATCGGTAAATGAAATATCGTTCTCGCCAGTGCTCTCGGGATTTTCACTAGTTTCGTTTTCAGATGAACTCTCAGACATCTCCAAGCTTTCTGCCTCAGAATCATCACTGCTACTAAATTTTTGCAGTTGACGTTTTGTGGGCTTTTTTGAAGGATTGGACAACTTATTCTTAATGGTCAGTTTGGATGGACCTAGAGCCGTAATTGTCAGCTTGGCAGTTTTTGATGGACCTGGAATCGGTGACACATTTTCATTTTGTACTGGTGGCTCTACTGACATGGACGTTTTTGAAGGATTGGACAACTTATTCTTAATCGTCAGTTTCGATGTACCTGGAGCCGGTGTCTTATCTTCATTTTGAGCAGGTGGCTCTACTGGATTTTCAGCTACGCTGCTTGGTGCAAATGCCTCAACCGGTAAAATATCTGGGTTAAACGGGTAGATACCAGTCGCCGAAAACCCAGATTTAATATTGGCGGGGGTCATGGCCTTGTCCCAAACAATGGAAAAAATAAAGCCAAAACGTGGTTTTGTTAGAGAACGTTCTCTATGATTAGCCCAGTATTTGAGAACTTCATCATCCCAGTAGTGCTCAAAAGAGCGAAAGACTGCCTTGTCCATTGGTTGGAGCTCATGAGTTGTATTGCTTGGTAAGCAGTATAAGTTGATGCCTAGCTCTTCAGCGACAGTGACAATTGAATGGTCCAAATGACATCTAGCACCATCGAAGATTAAAAGACATGGTCCAGGAGCTTTGTACTTTGCAAAATGTTGAAGCCATAGCTTGAAGGTTTCAATGGTCATGCTCCCCTTAGGTGTCATTAACGCTATGCTTCCTGGTGGTAAATAATCGGACCATTCTTGTTTCATTCGCTTTCCCTTAAATAAGATTAACGCAGGGACTGTAGAACCCATAGCGTTCCCACAAGCGACTATTGTGACATTTTGCCCATGTTCATTTGCTACAAGATGCACTCGTTTGGCCCCCTTCTTTGCAAGAACAGCTTGTTGGTGATGAAGCGATAAGCGGCAACCTTTCTCATCCATATTATAAATACACTGAGGTTTATCTATAATATCAAGCTTAAACAGAATATTACGCAGTTTGGTAAAGTGGTCATTCACTATAAACCGGTTTAGTTTTTGCGCCCTGGCAGGGTTCATGCTCTGAGCCTTCCGCTTTCTAATTTCAGGATTACGGCTGAAAAATCCTTTAAGCCAGTATCGACCAGCCAATTTTTTTTCTTCATTAAACGGGTGGCTTATGTGTTTTGCATCGCAAAAATTAAAAACGCATCTACGCAATACTTTAGAAGTTAGCGGATATCCTACTTCTGCCAATCGAATGATTCTTGTACACTGTACACAATTCTTGTTCTTGTTCTTTAGTGAGGCTTGCGACCCAAGCCACATTTTGATGTTTCATTTTTTCGTTAATAATCTCTCAGCGTTCCACGAGGTACGTTGAATGTCTTACTCGCTAAATTTTTGGACATGCCATTTTCAACTGAAGCAATAGCATTCTGCATGTTATCTTTACTCCATTTTCCCCTAAGACCTCGATTTCGTTCTTTAGACATAGTTAATCTGGAAATAAAAAATAAATGTAAGTTGATGCTAAAAATTAATGAATCAATTAGAAAATTAAATAAAATAGCAAGCTACAATGTCACTGCTAGCAATATCGCCATGGCTGAATAATCCACTTCTGGATTATTCTCCATTTCTACAAATTTCTAATACACACAGCAAGCATTAATTATTTTGCAATATTTTTTTGGCTTATAGTGCAGAACTCTGTGCTTTAAAAGGCATCTGAAGCGCATTTTAAGCACACCATTGCAGCGCTTTATAATGTGCGGGCTGCTTTACTCGCGCCAGTCTGTGGGTACCTTTATATTTCCAAAGGCTCTTCTCAACTGCTGCTCCGACCATTTCGCATTTGGCCCATATTTACTAACAAGGCCTCACTGTACACTACTGGCTGGCCTTATAAGGAACACTTAACCTTAAACAACAAACCTTCGTAACTCTTTCGAAGTTTTAAATACATAATAAGTGTCACATTTATGAGGCTGTCACAATTAGCCTACTTCACTGTATCTTCTGTGCCACCTTTTTTTTTTCTTTGGGGGTATCAATGTAACCCTCAGCTATACACTGTTGCTTTTTCCATCCTCCGTGATGTTTGACAATCAGAAGGTCCGCTCCTGAATCAGCCAGCATTGAGAACCGATGAAATCAGTGACCAGTATAAGCTTCTGGATGTGCCAAATTTAAAAAAGAAAAGATGGTTTTTGGCATTCCTCCGACAAAAAAGCGACAGTGATTCGTATTTGTGGGGCGAAGTGTTTTGTATTCTTCTTCGGCGTCTAAAATGACTTGAGAGCGTCTGACATTCCTGGCTTATTTGCCTTTCAGTTTATTCTTTATAGTGGATCTGGGAATACGAAACGTCGTCGCTGTAATCCGTTGACTCAAACGACCTGACCTAATTTCAACCAAACACTCTTGTAACTGCTCGGGAGTTAAATTTGCATAGGACCTTGATCCATGATGATTCACTGGCTGAGAGGGCTTTAAAGATTGGTACAAGCGGACCTGGTATGGGGAAAGATTCTGGTGCAATTTCTGCAAACAGTTCTTTTACAAGTCTTTTTGTTTGGCGTGAACCTATGTTTACTGAGCACTGAGCTCGTAAAGTTTGGAGGTTGAATAAGGTGCCGAAGTATAGTCTAGACAGAAGTGGGTGCCACTTGTCTGCTAATTTGTGCTAATGAGTGTGTCCATCTGGTTAAGAACGTAATAGAGATTTTTACTCGAAGGAACGTATACGCTGGGTACTGGCATCTTTCTTTTTAAAAGAGGTAGTCTAATGTATCGAGTTAGAATAAAATTCTTTCCATCTATTTCAGGTACTGGTGGTTTCTGGGGTTTGAAATCAATTTCCTGTAGTATGGTGATGTCATCTTTTACAATAGTGCTGGATGATGTCTGAACAGGATTGGTGTTCTGGGTTGAGGGAACAATGTTTAGCGAAACAATTTGTTCTGTGTTTTCAATCGCCTTTATGATAGGTGTTTCCATGGTGGTGGAAGGGCTGGATTTAAAGCGTGAGGAGTTTTTATGTGGATTTCGAGGCATTGTTCGAAAACTGGAACAGAAACCGGATGACACTGGTTCGAAACAAACCTCAAGTGACTTCTATCAGCTTGTTGAGATCAAAAAACACCTCTATTATTTCTTGGCTGATAGTGGTTATCCTGCAAGTCTTCGGTGGATTGTTTCTCCTTATCTTGACAATAGAAACCTCACAAGACCGCGAAAAGCCTTCAACAAAAGATTGTGGGAAAAAGAGTCGTAGCGGAGCAAGCTTTTGGTTTGTTGAAGGGACAATTTAGAAGATTACGTCACTTCAACAACATCAAAATTGATTTTATTGTCACGTGCTTCGTTAACTGTTATGGCAGGCTTTGTCGAACTGAAGGTATGCGGTGAACTGGTTGATGGTTTGTCACCCAAAATATCGTCAATATTATATTGATCAAAGAAACAAAATTTGTCTGCTCCTCTACCAGATTTGTCTTGTATACCCTTGACATTTTTGTAGGTTCGCAGCAAGTTTCTCCATTTAGTTTCACATTTGGCAGCGCTTCTTTGATAGCCGTTACTACTAATTTTATTAGCTTTGTATAACCACACAAATTTCCTTTTTTTAGCCACATTAAAATTTTCTTTGTGACTCTCATATGCTGTGACCAGGCTTGGTTCACCTCCAAATTATCTTCTGCAGAACTTGTGTTCGGCTGCATCTCAGGAGAAAGATCGTCCTGATCGGTATCTTCCTATTGGAGGTGATATATTTTCATTTCCACATCCACTGTAGGCACTGTATGCTCATTTTTAACATGTAACAAAAGCTGCTGAGCAAATTCCATATCCAAAAACGATACAAACAATTAGGAGTGATTAAAATTTCAAGGCAGCATTAAACAGGGGGTAGTACTTTAACTGTAAAGTAAAAATTGTTTTTTACACTTACCCTTTTAACAGCGGTCCGAGTCTGAATACGTTTCATTTGTTTATCGGAAAGATTAGTTTGGATATTATGTAGATCTATTTTTATTAAAATCAAGAGCAGTTTCTAATTTGTGCATTTATGACTTATGGTAATATAATATTTATGACTTATTTTTATGGATAACTACCGCTAATAATTAGGGTTGTGAATAATAGGGAATCGGTCAGTGAGTTTATGATCTGAATTTATTTTTCTTGTAATTTGTCATTGATGAAATAGTATAAATTTTTGTAAAAACTTCATATATAGGTATGATAATTTTTTTTGTAAAAAATGTAAATTATGGTATAGATTTTTTTCGAAAATTAATTTGAGTGATAGATAGTGTGGTTGAAAATGTGTTCAAATAGTGGATCATTGTTTAGATAAAATTGTTCACTATAAAGATAGATATTATATAGACTTTTATTATATCAACACTCACCAATTTTTTTTGGAGCGCTTGCTGACATGAAAGTTTGTGAACTTTTTTATATGCCTTGCAATTAGATTTTTCTATCAAATAAAACACTCAATTGCAAATATCAGTATCCAATCAAATGTAGCTTGCAACGACACACAAACACAATAATTGCTTTTGGTTTTTGTATGTCTAGGGAACTTTTGTGCCATTAAAACTTATAAAATATTTACTTTAAATGTTTCAGGAAGGTATCTCGGAGGTTTTTCCACTTCCTTTCCAATTGCAAAAGTGGAATCTTTCCTCCCAAATCCTTGCATACTTCACGCCATAGTTTTTCTTTGACATCCTTCCCTCTCTCTTAAACGGGAATAGTGTGTTCCCAGAGAGCTGCAGTGGAATTCCATTTTTCGTCGAGCTTTCCGATATCGTCGCGATTGGTTAGTCGATCGTATTGTTCAAAGCTATTCCATTTTTCGATCGAAAATGTATTGGGTAATCGTCGGGGTTTACGTCAAATTCAGATGAATTTTTGAACTACTGAGAAAATAAATAGAAGAAAATATGAGAACATAACCTCATTCAGCACAATTTGAGTGAAAAATCATAAACAATCATAAAATCAAAGTAAAAGGCATCAATTTGTTTGTGAAAAATGTTACCCGTTGTACGTGATTGGATTTTATTGCAAGAAAGGCAAAGACAAAGACGAGAACTAATACGAAGGCGTATATCTCTTAGATCCAGGTCAAACCCATTTGATTTTCCTGACCAAAGATTTAGAGAACTTTTTCGTCTGGACAAGAGGTATCCAACAGTGTTCAAGATAATGCTTATGAGTTTTTTAATAAAATTTAATGTTTTCAGATTGGTGCGAAATTTAATGGAAGAGTTAAGGCCATTGTTAGAAGACCGTAAGAGCATGAAAGGTGTTGATTTTGAGTCAAAAATATTTTGTGCTCTAAGGTACTATGCAGTAGGCTCTTACCAGAGATGCGTTGGTCAAGATTTTATTTTGGGACTTTCACAAACGACTGTTCATAGGTGTGTGAAGGCTGTGACTAGAGCTATTGTTGTTTTAGCTGAAAACCAAATTAGAATGCCAGATACAATCAATGAGCGAAATAATATTAAGTTCGAATTTATGGATAAATGGGGTTTCCCAGGCACTGTTGGGGCCATAGACTGTTTTCATGTTGCCATACTCAAACCTCATGTTAATGAACATAATTTCATAAACAGAAAGGGTTTTCATTTCCTAAATGTTCAAGTTATTTGTGATCACAAATTAGTTATTCGGAATATTTGGGCAAATTTTGGAGGATCTACCCATGATTCGTACATCCGTACATCTGGAGGGTATCTGAAGCAAACCGTTTCATGAGAGACCTTCATGCAAATCACGAAAACACTTGGATAATTGGTGATAGCGGGTATCCTTTACAGCCTTATTTACTAACTCCCTTTCGCAAAGCAAACAATGAAGCCCAACAAAATTACAATCTAGCCCATGCTAGAGCCAGGAACTGCATAGAGCGATGTATCGGTTGCCTGAAGCAAAGATTCAGATGCTTATTACAGGAAAGAACAGGTCGATATGATCCTCATTTCACAAGCCTTGTTGTCAAAGCTTGTGCATATTTGCAAAACCTTTGCATTGAGGCTAATATTCCCTTTGAAGAAGTATATTATGCAGATGGTGATGAACCCAACCCCAGACGAGTAGTAGATCCAAATGATGGAAATAACGTTCAACAATTGGGGATTTATGTTAGGCAACAAATTACAAACTTATATTTTAGGTAACTTTTTGCTAGTAGGTAGGTACCTAAATATATTTTCTAAACTCAAAAAGTTTTTCATAATCCTGTAAGGCAGCTGAGTGATAAAAAAAAGTTTGTTTTACAAAATATGTATTTACTGAACTTGGTAATAAAAACTATGAACATAATTCGGGTCAGCAGCAGACCAATACCCAAACTATTACCTTATTTTACCTTTTACTTAATGTGATTGCATTTCTGAGTTCTCTTAATTCAAGTTTCAAGTCCCTTATTTCAGCAGGTACTTCCTTAAGTGTTTCTTTTATTTCCCTCAACAGAACCACTGTTTCTTGGTAAGATTTCTCTATAGTGCCTGAATCTGCCTTGAGTTTTTTTGGGGCCGAGCTTAGAGTGTATGAGTGATCCACTAATTTTGGAGATGGATCCAAGACCGTGGTTGTCTTGTTTGGTGTTGGCGTGTCTGATTTTTTTTCTTGGACAGCTTGCGAATTTGATGCAGACTGAGAACAATAAAGCAGGATAGAAAATAGTAATAGAAAAAAAAAACACAAACCTATCGATAAAACGAAATAAAACGGAGTGGAATTGAACCAAAAGCTCTATAGATACATTATTATGTCATATTATCATACTACTTACCAAAATAGTCTGCGTCAGTAAACCGTCCTGACTTATTATGCTGTTTCGGAATGAAATTTTTGGCCTATTTACCAATGTAGATTTAGTCTAAAAAAACGATAAACTATTATATAGATAATATTTATTCATAAGAATTACAGAAATGCCTCATCATGTTAAAAATGAGCAAAGAGAAAAAGTACCTACTTAATAAATCGAATCTGAAAAAAGTTCAATAGTATGTAGGGAGGTACCTAAAATACATTTGAAAGTAATTGCTACTTACCAATCCTATTTCTAAGTAATTCACACCTTCAATAAATAAAGGCCCTAGGATTTCCAGAATTCTTAATTCGAATTTGCTGAAAGGTGTTTCCAAAGGAGGCCCCCCACCGGTTTTTTTCTGGTCCTCTCGTATATTGCCTCCCTTTTTTTAATCATATATTTGATATCAGTCCAGGACTAAAATGAGTATAAAGTGACAAATTCCCTTATTCTAATAAGGTAAGGTTTCTGGAAGCAGAGATATTAAACAAAGTGAAAGAAGTTAGAAAACGAATCGTTCAAGATTAGAACAACCTACATCTTCTTTCCTAAATATAGCGTAGGTATAGATGTTCAGAATCCTTGTGTTGTAGTGGATATTTAAACTCAATTAACGTTTACTTACTTTCTGCCACTTATCCACGCTTCGCTGACCAAGGCCCAGTGAATTGAGTTGAGCAGCGATTTCTGCCCAAAGTTGTTTTTGTTTCTCTTTGCCGTTGGCCCCACTAAATCGGCCCGTCACCAGTGAAGGGTTGGCCTCAAAGAAAGTAACCAGCATCTCCCAATGCGGTTCACGCATTCTAAATGCCATTTTTTTATTTTTGTAGAACTTTAAGCAGTATTAAGATCACACAATAAAAAAACTCCAGTTTGAATCAAAAAATTAATAAAACTAATTGACACCTCAAATGAAGTTTTTTTTAACGACTGTCATTAGTTATTTCGACATTCGACTCCTCTTTGTGAGTCGAATATAAAAATCGAATATCGAATCGGTGCTCCTGAAACGGAAACGCGATAATCGGAAAAATATGGCGGATTCGATAGAGATCGAGAAACGGAATTCCACTGCAGGTCGGGCATGGACCGCTTCAGTCAGCTTCCCAATAATGTTTTCATCAGAATCCAATGCTAAGGAAAAACAGAAAACAGTAGGTAAATCATTTTATTTTTCAAATCGAAATCCTGTAGTTCTTACCTGGGGTTTGGTGCGCCACCTCACTGTAGCTTCTTTGACCACTTATTATAGGTTGGGAATGTTGTGATTCTGAGGGTTCAGCGAGGGGTTCAGATTCAGGCTCAGTCTCGGACTTAGCCTGGTAACAAACATGATACTGGAATTGCTCCAATCTGACTGTGCCTCCACATTCACACTCCACCTGATTTTATTAATAAATATTAGAGTGGTAATAAAGGTATAACTTTTATATGCCGGGTTAGTAGAAAATTTGCATAGTCATAATAATATCAAAGATCATAGTCAAAATAGTTAAAATAAAAATTCCTTACGGAACAGTTATTTAAACACAAATCACAATCATAATTTAATGGACCTCAAAATTCCTAACTTATAAGCTTTATGTATGATTATAATTTAAAGACAAGACTCAAGAGGTGCAATCCCAAAATATGTCTCCAGTTTTTTTTATCCAAAATTGATTATTAAAAAAAAAATGATAGAAATTCCTAACTTTTTACCTAACCTAGGTATCCTTTGCTTATATTTTCATAAAATGTAAACCTTTAATTAGTTAAATGAAGAGATCCTCGGAGTTTCTTTTAAAAAAGATTTTATTTTCACTAAGTCCTAAACTACGTTTACAGGAATGCCTTAATTGTAACTAATTCTAAGGTGAACAATCACCCGAACAGCAAGTTTAGCTTTGACACGGAATAATGTTAATGTTAATTATTGCAACAATCGTATATATAGGGTATAAATGCATAATCAGCAATAAATAGCTATTCTAGGGATATGACTCCTCCACCCTCAGATTTTTCAACGTCCTCGTTGATGATTTTCTGGAGTGTCTTCACAGGAATGGCCTTAAGGTATCTATGTTTCCTCCACTGGTACAGAGCTATGCTAATACTACATATAAGGATAATACATACAGTAGTAAACATAAAATAATAGTAATTCTGTTTTTGAGGAGTGAGTTCTTCAAAGTTTACAGGATATAAAATTAAGGTCTTCTTGGATTCTCGCTGGGTCCTCTAGGTGTTTGATTTGAAGATTAATGCAGAAGTTTGTTGGTTGAAGATTGAGGGTTTCAGGATATTGTATAATAGATACATTATTTACAGCTAAGGAATATTTGCGATGATTGATTATAACGTCGCATTGGCTTTGTATAAGAGAACAATTCTGTACATTTAATTTTTGAAACTGAAAGCAGTTTTCGTAGATTATTTCAGAATTTTTTGAACAAAACAATAGTGAGTTTTTATAAGTTAACGCATGAACTTGATAATTATTTTGCACAATAGCGTATTGACAATTATTTGGTAAAAAACAGCTGTTGATGAGTGGATCAGAACATACCCATCTAGAATTAATTTGTTCACAGTTTCTATACCTTAAATCGTCACAGTAAAATTTGCTAGGACTAATTAAAATTTTTGACTCTTTACTTGGTATAGGGTAGATAAACTTCAAGTTACATACATTCTTTTCAAATATTGGTATTTTAATTGCGAGAATTGCCATTTCGTCTAATATTAAAAGACCGGTTTTGCAAATAAGACTTAGTTCTGAAATATGCTTAATGGGCCAAAGGGTGTTTTTTAGATGGTGTAGGTTTAAATATTGCCAAATTTCATTAATTTCTTCTAAGCTCAAAATTTCGAGGTCTAACGTTCTTAAATGTGCAAAGGAGAAAATTCTTAACAGTTTTTCTAAGAAGTGATTCAGGCTGGTTATCTGGATATATTGATCCTCAATGGATAATATTAGATTTATTTTTGAAAACTCAGACCTAATACTTTCGGAATTTTGGTTTAAAATTTTTATGTCCTCTTGATACTTATTCATAATATTTCCTGCGAATGAACTAAGGTCATTTATCTTATGCATGGTATTTAATTGGTTTTGTTTAATATTTTCTAAATTCTCGGTAATGGTCTCTAAGTCGTTATTGTCTAGGTTTCCCGTGACGAACTTGATACCAGTACCAATAAAGTTCATTAGACCGCGTTTCTTGCGATTAGGTTCAAAGACATTCAATTTTGCATATGTTTCAAAATTATTGTTTAATGTTTTAGATAAATGTGAAAATTGTGTCTTTGTAAAATTGTTATTCTGATTAATCACTAAATGCTGTAATATTAGAACATTACTAGTTAGTTGAGATAATGTAAACTGAATGCTAGATATATTAAAGGGTATATAAGTTGTATGATAATAACTAATAGTAAGGGATGTTGCCACTTCTTCTTCATAGTAACCATTATTAGGAAGTTTGTAGACCTGAAGGGCCTGGTAAGGGCTCACATGAGCCTGCAGGATCAGGATCGGGAGGCTGAAAAGAAACAGGATTTTTTTCTGAGTCTTTTTAATTTCCTCATGTGCGTGGTTACGAGTTGTTTTTTGGAAATACCTGTTATTTTATTCCTATCCACTGCCGTTACTTTTGTTTTTATGGTAATTTGCAATTATTTCTCTTTGTTGTTCTTCGCTGGGGACATCCGTTAAGTGAGTATTGGACATTATTAGTTTTGCTGAGTTATTTAGATTTGCGGAAATTATTCTTTGAAATTCTATTTTCAGCTCTTGGTTAGGTATAAAAATCGTAAAAGTGCGATCAGGCTTTATAATTTCTTTAATGACTTTTATAATGTGTTCCTATCTTTCTTCTTTGCAAATTCTTACAAAGTGGTGGTTTTTCTGGAAAGCTTTGGAAAAAGTGTGCTTCAAACTATCGGCGTAGTCTATTACAAGGCGATTCGTAGCATAATTTAAGGGTAATTCGGAAATTGGTAAGTATTTTCCTTGGGTATCGTTGTTTGAGTGTACTGTAATGTCGGAATTGTCGTCATTCCCTTCTGGATTTGTGGATGTTGTAGTGTCTTGGGGTTTTTCGTTTTCGACTTCTTTGTATTTTTCATTAAGGACGTAGTCCATAAGGTCAAATTCGGCGACTGTTTCATCGGCGTTAGGAATACACGATTCTGCATCATTGTTGTTGTTTTTCTTTGTTTCGTTGGTGTTAAGTTCGATGCGTGACAATGCGTCAGCGACGACATTTTCTTTACCTTTTTTGTATTTGGTTTCGAAATTAAACTCTTCGAGTTGTAATTTCCAACGTATAAGACGAGCATTGGGTTCTTTGACCTTTGTGAGTCATACCAGGGGGTCGTGATCTGTTTCGATAGTAAACTTGACGCCATATAAGTAACACAGAAAATGCTTGACGGAATTAGCGATCGAGAGAAGCTCGCGTTCGATAGGTGAGTAATTTTTCTCAGCAGAATTTAGAGTACGTGAGTAAAATGCAATGGGGTGGTTGTTCTGAGATAGGACGCTACCTATAGCGATATTTGAAGCATCGGTCGTCAGTGTGAATGGTTTGCTGAAATCGGGATATTGAAGGATGGGGGAATTACTAATTAGTTCTTTGCATTTTGAAAAGGCTTCTTGGTAATCCGTATTACCAATACATTTTTCGCTGCCTTTTCTAAGACATTTTGTGATTGGAAACTTTTTTGAAAAATTCTTTTTCCTACGAGCGTGCGCAAAGTAGTACTTTTCCGCACGCATTTCGGTTCTCAAAGTTGCACTTTTCCGCACTCAGTGCGGATACAGGCCTTATCCGCACTGAGTGCCGAAAAGTAAAAATAATTGTCAAGCAACAATAAGTACACCTGTCGACTTTGACACATGATGACAAATTTTTCCTCTGTTCCTGTTCCAGCTAACATCTATACCTACAAACACCAAATTTAATTAACTTCAACACATTGTCAGATTTGTTTTCTATATATATGCATCTACAAACTTTCTCATCAAATTTATAGCATTTTCCATTTGTCGAAACAGGGCAAAAAAATGTATCCTTATCCTTACATGTTACATGCTTTTAGAAAAAGATGCGGATGCACTCAGTGCGGCACTGATGACAAATGGAAATCGCCATTAAACGCTTTAAGATGAAGAGCTCTGACGATGATTTTCTGTTATATTTTTTTTTTGTTATGTAATTTTTTGATAAATGCATAGGTTCCCTTCAAGTTAATTAAAAATAATTAAACAAATTATCGTTTTTTTTTTAAATTTTTGTTGTTACCTACCTGATATGAAGCTCGTAGGAAAAATTTTGTTCCTAACACGTGCGCAAAGTGTCTTTTCCGCACGCAAACACGTATCCGAACTCCGCTTCGCGTCGTTCGTATAACTGTGTTTGCGTGCGGAAAAGTAACACTTTGCGCACTTGTTAGGAAAATAACTATATAAATCTTCTGTAGTAACCTACCAATCCCAAAAAAGCTTTGATTTCTTTTTGTGTTTTTGGCATGGGGAACTTTTGGATTGCTTCGATTTTTGAAGGATTGGGTTTTATTCCCTCAGGAGTTATTATATGACCTAAGAATGCGACCTCTTTTGATAAGAATTCTGACTTGGATGGTTGGATTTTTAGATTTACTTTTCTGAATAAATTAAAGATTTTTCGAATATGATCCAGGTGTTCGGAAAGAGATTTGGAAAAAATGACAACGTCGTCCATGTAAACGAAGCAGAATTTGTAGAGATAATCTCTCAAGACTTCATCCATCATCCTTTGGAAGGTTGCGGGCGCGTTTTTAAGGTCAAAC